TGTAGGGAATTCTCTCACATATTTGGGGGAAGGGAGTTTTGAATTAAAAAGCAGGACTATGAATTTAAGCCTGGTGAGAGATGCAATTTGGCAGGTGTCTTATATTAAGTGTGGATGTGAGTGTTAGTTGCATTGAAAATTTTGGATAGAGTGTATGGTGATACTTCTTGTGTGCATTGCGGTAAGTTGACAGTGATTTGCAATGGTATGTACTTAAATTTATTACATTGGTGGTTCTTTGAAGTATCTCTTGTTACAGTGAGATGTGAAGACGAATGTGATGTTTGGACAGTGTGGAGTTCCATCTTTGATAAAATGCCCTTGAAATGGACTCTATCTGCAGAAACCTGTCAGTTGAAATGACCGTGTCCAAAAAAATTTATTTCTGAATGCAAGAAGAAACTACAATTTACAGGACAGAGGGGAGCGCTAACATTTGGAGTGCTGTGAATCTGCTATACATCTCCAGTGTGTTTTATACACCTACAAAGTGATAAGACACTTTGTGTCCACGTATCAGTGGAATGACACGAGACTTTTTCCTTTTTTGCTGCAAGGTTTATTCAGAGACTTGCGCTGTATACACAATTAGGTGCTTTATGCTTTATACTTTGATGAACATAACTTTAAGGATTTGCATGGTATACATGTGAATTCTGTCATGAATGAATACTGTGAATTAATGAAGTAATTTTGACAGTATTTTTGGTCTTAGTAATGTATCATGGTTTTGTACTAATTTTACATGGTTGTGTAGGCCTTAATATAAAATCTCCCTCTCTAATCACTAGAAAGAACCCTGATCCTGTCTGTTTAATCCTTGATAAATTAATTTATTTAGATTGATAGGCAAATGAATTCCAAACATCAGGGTACACCAATTTTGTAAAAATCTAATCCAGTTTTGATTACAGTATCATTACAGTTCCTGTATTTCTCCAAATGTAACCCTGACCCCAAAAGCCAGACCAACAGAGTCAAGTTCAAAGCTGCTCAGCCACCACACAGGCTCCACCCACCATGCTCTAGAGGCCAAATGAAAAAACAACAACCCTGCTTTATATTCCCCTGCAATCTTAAGCTTTTTCAGATAACATTAGCTTTGGCTACAATCTTGCAGGTTTTCAAGATCATCCATAGAGTTTAACGAAGGAAGTATTGCTGCTTTAAGTAAAATTATTAAAACTCATTTATATGGTGAACAGCTGGTGTTCAGAGATGTTTACTGCATTAGTCTGAATTATGTTTCTTTGCGGTGGCTCAAGTGGTTAAGATGCTGAACTGCAAGCTGTGGAAGGTCAGTAGTTCAGCAGTTCGAGACCCGGGTTGCCACATGACGGAGTGAGCTCCTGTCTCTAGTTCCAGCTCCTGCCAACCTAGCAGTTCGAAAGCAAGAAACTGCAAGTAGATAAATAGGTACCACTTTGGTGGGAAGGTAACAGCATTCTGTGCGCCTTGGTGTTTAGTCATGCCGGCCACATGACCACGGAAACGTCTTCGGACAGCGCTGGCTCTTCGGCTTTGAAACGGAGATGAGCACCGCAACCCTAGAGTCGGACTCGACTGGCTTTCGAGCAAGGGAACCTTTACCTTTACCTTACTCTCTCTGTATATCAACTGAGAATACAGTTTTGGTTTTTCTAAAGATCCTGACACTGCAGTCAATTGCAAGGCTACAGAAATTATGGGGTCAAGATCGCAGCACAGATTTTTGTGCTGTTTCTAAAACACATGGTGGCAATAACAGAAATTTATTGACTATGGAAGATGCTCTTGTAGGCCAGACATAGCCCATGTATTGTTAGTATCCTGAGAATTTTTAGTCTGGCCCTCTTCCTGGCATTCTAATTTTGTGATGGTTTATGTGGGAGAGGCATTCAAACATTAACATTCTGAACTTGCACTCTGGAGTAGTCCAGTCAAGTAGCCAATCACATGAGGTTGCCAACTGCACAGAGCAGCTCTAAGACCCAACAAGGAACACTGGCAGTTACTATATCACATGTAGTACCTACCACACAAAATCTAAGTCAAAAGATACTTGCAAAGGAGCCCTCTTACCTGCTGTAACGAAACTGTTAGAAATTCTTTTCCATTTAACTCATGGCTGTGCTCCACTGTTTCCCCTTGCTTCAAATCTACGCTTTTAGAGACAGAACTAACACATTCTGCTCCTTGATGAATCAGGGCAGATCCAAGTCCTGGATCTGCAGATATTTGCAGAGTAGCTGGTATCAGTCCAAAGTGCTGTAGTGCAAAGTTCAGGACAGAAGAATTTGGGGCCTGGACAGGATTAGCATGAGCCACTGAAGGAAGAATAGTGTTGTTTACCACAGGAATGGTAGGTACAGAAGATGTTGGTAACATTAGGTTCATGGGTGTTATATGAAAAGCAGGGAGATTAACCGCTGTAAATTCAGATGTCACTGGAATGGCACCTATGCCAGAGAAGAGAGAGAACAAACCATCAAAAAGCACAACACTTTCATGCCATGGGATTGTCTAGACATGAAGAAGCTGTTGCAGTGCAGACAAAGGACAACTGTTTGGGCATGCTGGGCTTTAGTAGAGACGTTTCCTCGCGCAAGAGGGGTAATGTTAGCTGATTAACTCCATCATCCGGGGGTCACTAATGCTACACCGTTTTGGGGGATCCAACAGGGCACAGCCCTAAACTGGATAGTCCAGGGTAGCTTTATCTTTTCAGATCTCAAAAGTTAAGCACGGACAGCCTTGACTAGTATTTGGATAGGAGACCGCCAACGAATACCAGGGTCATGAGGCAGAGACAGACAATGGCAAACCACCTCTGAACGTCTCTTGTCTTGAAAAACCCTACAGGGTTGCCATAAATCAGCTGTGACTCAATTGCGCCTTTTTTTTTTTTTAAACACTGCAAAAGCTGAGTGAAAACATAACAAAGAAGACTGGAGTGCTCAGCAGAAATAAACAAATAACTTGGCAAGTTTAGGGATAAACAAGTGCTACTCCTTTATTCTTCTACACAAGTGATGAGGAGAGAACTATGTATGAGCTCCTTCAAAGGACAGGACAAAAGAGTAAAAAAATAATCTGTCACTGATTGCACACAAGATGGAAAGAGACTAAAATAAGCTCTGGGATACACCAGGTTTTATTACTATATTCATAACCTGCCTTTCTCCAAAAATAGGACTTAAGGTGACTTTAACATATACATTAAACGTAATCAAATAATACACACCAGCAGTAAGGGAACTGTAGGACTTTTGTTCTGCTAAACACATCTCTGCTTTTCCTTTGTTAGAAGCAGTCATCTCATTACCAAGTTGGGTGCATTGAGGAACAGGTATAAGGTAACTTGAAGGAAACCAAGCCTGAAAAAGAGTAAATATGCTATTTATAAATATTTCTGGCAAATTCCATGGCTTTCCTGTTCAGTCAGCTCAGCCATTGTTACTTTCCACACACATGGCATTGTATCATTCCAGCAGCACATTTTGGTTGTGTAAGAATCTTCTCTAACAACTGAACAGTGCAATCCTATGCACTGTTTATTTCAATGAATGGACTTAGACTGGAATAACTTTGCACAGGAGTGCACTGAAAGTGTTCTTCTAATCCATTAACTCTTTCACAGAAAGCATGGCCAAACAGAAATTAATAATAACTCATGGATGGATCATATATTCACGGAAAGTTTATACATATTTTATAAGCTGCTCTTAGTTTTGATGTTCACTGACATCATGTATGCAAAATAAGCACTGAATGTTGTTGTTTTTTAAAAAAATTCAACAAGTTTATTGAAGAATTGGTTCAACATTACAGTAAACTTAAGGTATAATAAAAACAACGCAAAGGTAATCAATACCCAAACAATCCATAGTATGTGTAATAACACTGCCTATTAGGTATACAGATATACACCAGATAAAGAGAACATATATGTCGAGTGCTCAGACTAAGGGGATGTGCATCAAAAGTGTAGCCATTCAATGTAACTGGTGTTGGAAGGAATGGTATCAGTCTCTATCATGTATTGTATAAGAGGGAAACCATGTGCGCACAAATTTGGAGTGAGAGCCAGCAAATTCATATGGGGAACTGTTAGAGGAATCAGCAATCTTGTTCATAAGATTAGTAATCGCTGAGAACGTTTTAGCTCTGCACAGTTCCTCTGCTAGATGTTCGATGGCTAGAGCAAAGATTAGGGGTGAAAGTGGGCAGCCTTGTCTGGTGCCTCAGGAGGGGTAAAAGAAAGAGGAATCCAGACCATTGACTCTGACCGATCCGATCTAATTTGTTGCAGCAAGAGTCAGTAAAACAGTACAATTCTGATATAAAAAGGATTAAAACAGTCATAACATGGGAATAGTATAAAAACATTTACAAGAGAAAGTTAATAAAATTAGTACAATAAAATAATGTTAATAATAGAATCATACAATTTTTTCAGCTAAAATAAGTTTACGTTTCCTAATAGCTAAGCAACAAAATTTTGCCACAGCGTAGGTCGCTGAGCTCTGAATGTCTTCTAAGAGGAATTTATGAAGGACTTCTGGCCTAAAGTCAAGATAAGACTGCAGAGGGCTAAATCTAGACAAAAGGGGTAGTATAAGATGGTCTCATTCCTCCTGATAGAATCTGCTGAACAGGAGGACATGAGTAATTGATTCCACCATATTAGCCATGCATGGACATATACGTTCATACACTGAGACTCGAGTGAATTTAGCTCGCAGTACAGCAGAAGGGAGTGCCTCAAAATGAGCTCTGGAAAAGGCCCATCTATAGGACTCATAGGTAATGTTAACTAAATAAGGGGCAACAGTAAAATTAGGCCAAGATTTTATATTTCTGAAGTTCTTGGGTAGCAAAGCTTCTTCATTTTGTAATTCAATATCACAAAGTCTCTGTGTGACAGCTGTTCTTGCCTTGTATATGCTTCCATAGAAGAGATCTTCTAGGAATAGGCCAATCTGATTTAATTTATTAAGAATTTGTGTGGACCAAGCAGGGTAAGGGTCCGAGGCTAAAAGGTAAGGTATTAAACCCTTTGGGTTGTAATGAATTTTTAGCCAGTGTTATAGCCTGCTCCCAGACCTTTGCTTCGACTCTGATTGACTCTGACTCTGAATTTAGGTTGCTGATATATAGAATTTAAGGCTGTTAAAAAGTTCTCCCCAAAGCTCATGCTTCTAAGAGTGCCATCAAATACGATATCTCAATGGAACCAAATGCATTTTTGAAATCCAATGCTAATATTAATGCCTCTGATTGAGATTTCCCCCCCATGTAGAATCACATCGATATCACCTGCTCGCTCGTCCAGTGTTCGCTTTTTGGTGTCCTTATGGTGCCGCAGCAGTGGGACCTGCTGGGGCAAGAGGGAGCCTCAATCCCTTGACCGCGGCCTCGGGAGAGACATCCCCAGCGCCCCAGGCTGGGAGTCCCCTACAAGGACTCCGGGGGGGGCGGAATCGTCCGGCACCCCTCCCGTCTGCTGCGTTACGGGCCATTCCTAACGGAGCTCCGAAGGAGCGCGCCTGCCATTGGAGTCGCCAAAAGCGGAAGTCAGGAATTAACCCAGTTTGATCTTCTGCTATAAACTCTGAGACTATGGTCTTAAGACGGTTCGCTAGTATGGTCGAAAATAGCTTTGCGTCATTGTTGACCAGGACAGTGGCATGATTCCTCCTTGCAAGGCTGCATTACAAAGAAGGGGATCTGTCAGTGAGGATCTAAAGACCTTATAAAATTCAGCCGGTAGGCCATTGATTCCCAGAGTTTTATTTGATTTTGTAACTTGATTGCAGCAACCACTTCCTGACGTGTGATTGGGCTATCCAAAATTGTAGCCTGTTCTGTAGATAGTTTTTTCATTGGTGAGAGATTCTAAATATTCATTTATGTTTGAAGCCGATGGAAATGTTGAACTGTATAGTGTCTTGTAAAATTTGGCAAACGTATTTGCAATGGTTCTTGAGGTGGTGTGGCAAACTCCATCTGCCCTGTGAAGTAGATGGGGCTGAGAGAGCTCTTCAAAAACTGCTTTTGAGAGGACAGCTCCAAGAGAACTGTAGCTTGCCCAAGGTCATCCAGCAGCTGCACATGGAAGAGTGGGGAATCAAACCCGGTTCTCCCAGATTAGAGTCTGCACTACTAACCGCTACACCAAACTGGCTCTGAAGGGTAGGAAAAACCACCATGAACTTTAAAAGGTTAACTATGGAATGCATATTATCTTTCTCTATTCAGACTTGTATTCAATGTAACTTTAATCACCCAGAAAAATGCCAGTGTATAAAAATTTCCATTTATTATTTAGATAGTGTGCACTTTAATTAGGGACTAATCAGTAAGTCTAGTTTTAAGCTCACTGAATTAGAATTGTGGATCTATTGCAGTAGCAGAGATAAGTTAGAGCACTTAGAAACATTTCATAGCTTTGTTAAAAAAATCTCAGTAATTCTCTCAAGAAACAAAAACCCCAGTCCCACCTATACACACCTATGAGCATGTTGTGTCTGAGGCTGTGTACAACAATGAAACACAAAACATAACTTTAAAATTATAAAAATCTGACTACATGTGATCTGAAACCCCCAACAAAAGCCAGCATAAAACCAGCAGAGAGCAAAAAATAAAAGAATATATAATCAGCTCATCTGTATTGCAAGGCAAATGATTACAGTGAAAGGAAAGGGGCGGGGGAGTAACCCAAAGCCTAAGTGAAAAATGACTTTGCCTAAAGCTAGAGGATCTGAGCTCCAGGTAAGCTGCTGCAGGGAGGAAGCTTCCACAGCCATCGCAGTCACCAAGAAGGCCCTGTCCCTTGAGGCTGCATGCCTCACCTCTGATGGTCAGGGCACATGAAACAGAGCCTCTCCTGTAGCTGAACAGCTGGCTTAGGTAGGGACAAGCACCCGAGAAACTCTGGTCCCAAAGTACTTAAGATAATAAGTGAGCACCTGTTATTAGAGTGAAACAAGGTGGATATAAAACCAATCATTTAAAATATTAGATGTTAAAAATCGAAGGCTTTAAAAAATACATTTCAGCTAAAGATTTTCTAGAAATAACAAGCCAAAGTGAAACCTGAACTTAATGGCAACACAGCATCTCTTAAAGGTGAACTTGTGATCATCTCAGGAATGTAAGAAAGGCTGCACTAGTAGAGGTGCTTTTCTTTTGTGGACAATGCCCTTGCATCAAGCTGGGGTGCCTTGCACTGGAAGAAAGCCCCTCTGCTCCTGCAACAGAGCCACAGATCTAATCCAAAGTTCTTAAAGCTAAGTTCTTAAAGCTAGAGTAACTAATTACCTCCTAAATAAAAGTATATACCAGCTAAATAATAAATAGAAATTTTGGTCTCCTGGCATTTTTTTCTGGACGAGTAAAGTCACCTTGATTCAAATCAACGCACCCTGCAATGACGTGCTGATACCTTATGTGCAGGTGTCTTCTGTGCTGGGAAGGCACTGTCATCTCCCAAACGATTTCTCTGCTTCTGCTGCTTAGATTCATCTCCTCTGCTTTGCTTCATGCTTTTGTATTCATTTTGTTCTTCTGCTGATGAAGCTAAGACTTCCTGGTCCAGACGTAAAGCTACGGAAGACTGGGTGTTTGAATTCTTCATGGATTCTCCCTGAGGAGGGGGAAAACGTCTTAGTTATTGTATGTCACGTGTCCAAAAATCTGCTTAAGGTGGCTCACAATGAAAGATCAAACGTTTAAAAATACAAATTAAAGCAATAATAATAAAGTTACCTCACCAAAACAATCTCCACCAGCAATACAACCACCTTAATCTGCAGGCAATAGTTAGGTAAAAGCCACTAACCCCTCCACTGCAGACAAACAGCATGAAAAGAATACTAGAATAGTCATAACAACCATGAAACAGGTGGGATACAGACCTGTCTTCCAAACAGGTCAGGTTTTCAGTTTTACATACTGTACTACAAGTATCTCAGCTCATTCTGACTGCCTATGCAGACAAAGTCACTGGAAATGCTCTGGACTGTTAGTGTTTTTTTAAATGACTTAAGAGTGCCAGCTAGGGTTGCCAAGGGTATCTTCGCCAGGAGCGGGGGGCTCCTGGCTGGTGTCTTGTGCGCGCAAAGCGTGCACGCGCTGCACGCACATCACCCGGAAGTGACGGGAGGACACCAGGCATGCTGGGGGCGGAGCCACGGCCATACAAGGGAAAACCATAGAGTTTTCCCTTGTATGGCTGTGGCCCCGCCCCCGGCGTGCCCATGTCACTTCCGGGTGACGCGCACGTCGGGGTGGAGTTCCCGGGGCCCGATCCGGCAGCGCCGGGGAACGGGCCTCTGGGGCGGGGGTTTCTCCGCCCCCCGGGGGGACTTGGGAACCCTAGCGCCAGCACTAAACTAATTAATAAATGCTTTGGAGTGCTATCCTAAGCAGGCCTGCTCAGAGTCCCAGTCAAATCTATTCAGTGGGGCTCAACTTCCAGGAAAGTGTTATTAAGAGTTCATCTTGCATTACAAACTTTCATCCTTATCTTTGAAAGTTCCTTATAGAATGCTCCCTCTAAGCTGTGGAGGCCTGTGAGCAAAAATTCTTCTTTGTGAGCTACTGGCAATAAAGTTGTGAGCAAGCAAATTGGCTACTACATAAATTAGTTTGCTCTGGAGCCATCCTCCCTGAGCTAAGACAAAAATGTGTGAGCCAGAGGCTAAAAAACTGTGAGCTAGCTCACACTAACTCAGCTTAGAGGGAACACTGCATAGTCATTTAGATTAAATGAATTTTTAAAACAATAACACTGCAGAGCCTGTTTTTAAGCTAACATTCATGTTTACCTTTCCCGTTTCCTAACCTTTTTTACCTGCAAAGTGTCCACCTGTACGATGGGTCACAATTTGCATCCCATAAGAACTGGATGGCAGAGTAAGATTAAGAAACAGCCAGTTCTCAAAATGCCATAGCTATGTCAAACCAGTATCTGGAAAGGCAACAGGCCACCTCCTCCTAGAAGAACAGAAATGCTGAAAGGAAACATCTTGCTCAGGCTCCTGGAGAAAGAATGCTCCCCTGAGACAGTTACACAGTGTTGCGTGGGGCCAATGAGATTTTCAGCAAATGGACTCTTATAACACCTAAAGATGTATTGTGAAATAAGCTTTCAGAGACTGGAGCCCAATTTAGGAAAGTTTATGCCACAATACATGTTAGTCTTTAAAGGTGCCACAAGACTCTCATTTGCTTTGTTACAGAAGCACATTCTTAATAAAATGCATGATGGATACTTGTTGGACTCTAAAAAGCGGCTTCATATTTTTCAGAATGTTTGACTGAGGGCAAAGAAATGGGTGGCTGGTTTTGAGTGCTGCAGATAGGCCAATATCTGCAAGAGTTCCTTCTTTCATAACAGCTTTGTATTCTTTCCAGCTGAGGAACATGGTCCATCTACGTGCGCCTTCTTGCACACTAATAAGCTTCCATCTGAATGACTAGGGAGCCCTGCAGAGGGACTTGAGGTTTGGGAATGAACATGTTAATAAAAAGGAGCACAACTTGAAGCAAACAGTCATAGCACACTGCTGTGCAGACACGCAATAACCTTCTCTGAGGGAAAGTAACTGCCTTGCCTCTTCATGATGGTTGTAGCCTGACAAGAGTGGGCTGGCCTAACTCATCTAGGTCAGGGCTGCCTCTGCATGGAGAGAGACAAAATGGTCCAAACCACACTGGATACAGAGAGGAATTACATTCATTGGAGGCTGACTGAAACAGTAAGACACAGCAGGTGGCCTCCTCTATGGCTGGCTGCTTTGGCCTCAACTGAATTGCATCTTATGGCACTCAATTTGGGATTTACTGGCCTAGTGAGAGGTCATGCATTTGCTCGTTTTCCATCATTCCGTATTTTAAATAGAATACACTTTTACATGACTTACCAGTAACATGTCTTGAAGCTTTACCTCCTCACTTTTACATTTTTTAACTGGACTATACTCCAGTACTAATTTACACCTTTTAAGAAGTTTCTCTGGTGTACAGTCATCTTTGGAACCTTCTTGCTTCTCGGCAGCCCTGAGGCTCTCACCTTTAGCATGAGCGTCACTCTCTCCCAAGTTGATGTCATTGCCTTCAGCATACATTTTACCAGGTGCTGCTTTTGAACCAGTTCTTGCAGGGTATTTGATTCCAATCACATTAGCACAGGGAACAGGCTGCACTGTGAAACTTGGATTGTATGCTGTTGCCATCTGTGTTTGGGATGGATGCACATACACTGCGTACGACACGTTGGAATGGATATGAGGTAGTACTGGTGGAGACGCTGAGCTGTGGATCACAGGCAGGACCTCTACATGAGAAGGCAACAAGAATGTTTCACATTTCAAACAAGATTCAGGTTGCAAAGCCAGAGTACACGGCAAGGGAGAAGATGCCAGTCTCAATGTTGTCTTTTTCAGTTCCCTAAGGGGGGAAAAAAGATGTTATGTTAAAATACTTTCATCCAAAATTGCTTGTTAACAAAAGAACAAGACACAGAGGGATTGGTTCTGCTTATTTAGAAATGGAAGTGTTGCACAGCACTTCTCTTACACCAAAGATGTTGGCTTAAATCCAGCAATTTGTCTACAGGAGTCATTGATGGATATGGAGATTCTGGAAGAAAAGGGAATGCTTTTGTCCTCCTCCTCACTACAGCCCCTTACCATGTGCCCATTTCTCCATGTAGGTCCTGCAAACCCAGAAATTCTCTTTCCTGGAGGCAAAAGGGACTCCTGGGAAGAACAGAATGCAGCAAAAATCTCTGTTCCTCCTGCTAAAGGATCTCTGGCTCCAAACCACTATTTCCAGTTCAACTGTTCAAAGTCAGTTATGCAGCAGTCTTAATAATTGTCGCAATATCAACTGTAATCATAATCTGAATTGTTACCAGTTTCTGGCATATATCGCTAGCTGAGAGTTGTCTAATTGCAGTAGCTGGTTTAACATGCATTCACAAGGCAATCAAGAAGGCATCCTCCTATACAGCTTCAACAAACATACCTTGATTGCTCATCTAATTGCTGTTTGCAAATTGCTGCAAGTTGAGCCATCTTGCTTGGAAAACTTGATGGAATGTGACCTGTGGGGAAAAAGATAAACAAAAGGATTTTACTGGAACCATATAGTTTGCACAGTTTAAAGCTGGTTTGAGCAATTCACGGTCATTGAATCCTCTTTTCTATTATTCTTTCTGGTAGGGCCTCTGTTGCACAGTACACACCCCAGACTCATGGCCCAGTTAGAGGAGTCTACACACAGATGATATAGACATATTAACTGATCATAATACAGTGGCCAATCTAGCTTAATGCAGCAGCTCTCCAGAGACTGAGGTAGGTCTTTTTCATCCTTGCTGCCTCAGATCTGGAGACTCCCAAGACTGAGTATGCCATGCTTCACCTCTACTGGATATGAACATCTTCAAAAGGCCCCCCAAAATCATATGCACAAGGATAAGCATGGGAAGATTGAAATGCAATTGTAAATCTCCTTTCCTGCACGGCTGTCGATTGTGAAACCTAACATGTATGGATGGCCACGAACCAGAAAATTCTGGTTCAGGGTGGTCCCGAACCAAACCCTGAACTGAGCAAAAATGCCCAAACTAAAATGTCTGGTTCGGGCCACCTTTCTCCCGGCCATGGCAAGCCACAGCTTGGAGGGGCGGGGGGAGTCACCCAGGAAGCGTTTAATGGCTAACAGCCGTTTAACCCATCCATTTCGCTTCTCCCCGCTTTGAAGATGGGGGGAGCAAAACAGACGGGTTTAATGGCTTACAACCATTTAACCCATAAAAAAAGGGGAAGAGAAACTAAACCAACCAAGCAAGAGTCAAAACCTCTAAAGGAAGTTTAGAAAACTAGTAAGGGGCCAAAAGTTAAAAATATCAATAATTACAGACAAACGTACTTGTGTTTATTTCAAAAACAGTAGGGGCCCAAGTAAAGCCTCATAATGTAATCAAAGTGACAAATACACAAAAGGAACCATATATGACCTGACACATATCAGCCCAGAAGTGCCTTCTTCAGAGGTCAAATAGTACAGAATACAACAAAGCCCCTGTTACACTTGTAAGGCAATTGATATACAACTCAAAAAGGAACATTCCAATCTGGAACTGAATGACACAAAAAGATATGTGAGGCCACAATTGTATCTGGCCTTGTGTCAGTGGTAATATTGCCAGTATGAACCTTCCAGTTTAAGTCCTAAGATTACAGGTACAATCACCTTACCAGGGCCAATATAACATCAGTATGTATCAGTGTAAACAGACAGATATGTTAAGCTTATAGAGTGTGCTAGGGAATGAGAGAGATCACTGAAATGGCTCACATCCATTTAAACCTAACAATGGACAGGCACACCCCTCCAGCTGTTAGGTTTAAATGGCTGCAAGCCATTTCAAAGATCCCTCTCGCTCCCCCTGCTTTCAAGTGGGGGGAGCGAAAAGGATTGCTGAAATCCATTTCAGCCTAACAGTGGATGGGCGCAAGAGGGATTGCTGAAATGGCTTGCATCCATTTAAACCTAACAGTGGACGGGTGCACCCCCTCTTGCTCCCCCTCACTTCCAACCGGAGGGGAACGAAAGGGATTGCTGAACTCCATTTCAACCTAACAGTGGATGGGCGACACAACCCTGCTGTTAGGCTGAAATGGATGCAAGTCATTCCAGCTATCCCTTTTGCTCCCCCCCACTTCCAAGCGGGGGGGGGGGAGCAAAAGGGATTACTAAAATGTCTTGCATCCATTTCTGCTGCGGACATTGCCAACATGCTTCACCATGAACCCCACAAACCTAAAAACCCACACGGAGGGTTGTGGGAGGGTCACTGAGGAAAGATTGCATGAACCTCGGATTGTGAACCACAACCCGGGCAATTTTAGCACCAAACTTAGGGTCATGGGCAGGTTCATGCCAGTCCCTACTAACATATACACATGTAAAAATTGCCTGTTTTTCACACATCAGGAACCTGACACTTGTGCGTTTAAGAAGTCCCTTTTAGTTTTTCATGCATGCATATGAAAGTTCAAAGGAACTAAAAAGAACCTGAAGTAGCATTGGGAATTTGGCTATGAAAGTATCTACACTATTGCACATTGGTCTTTCTACACTTCTGAGGCTCAGTGCATATCTATGGACTGACTATGCACTGGGTCACTCTAACCTTAGTAAGACTGCCCAGAAACAAGCAAATTGTGGATTGCAGCCTTGATGTCTTTCTACACTTCTGAGGCTCAGTGCACATCTATGGATTGACTATGCACTAGGTCACTCTAACCTTAGTAAGACTGCTCAGAAACAAGCAAATTGTGGATTGCAACCTTGGTCTGACAAATATGCATGTGCTCCCCCCAGTTCAAAAAGACAAAGAACAAACAACATTGTGTTCAGTGTGACAGAATGCCCATTCAATATTTTCAAGTGTCTGCAGGATAATACAGAACAGAATTTATGTTTCAAGTACATACTTGTGTTTTTCTTGATGGGACTGCTTGGAGCAGAATGAATTTTTCTATGATCATTCTGTATATTCTTTGGCAATTTTATTAAGGATGGATGCCGTGTGAAGCGTTGTTTACATCTTGTGGGGAAAAGGTTCTTGGAACAATGCTCTTTGGAAGTCTTCTGTTCCACAGGATGAGCAAGAGCAATACTAGCCGGTGAAAGTACAGACGGTGCATCTATAAATAAAGAACTAAATAAATACATGCTGAAAATTGTGCATGATATAAAAATTTACCACTTTTATTAAAGCTTTTAATATGATAAACAGCTGTGTCAAACCAGCTGTTATCTCTATGCACAGAAGACAAAATTGCCGTTTTCTGAGAGGTTTCTTTTGGTTAGTGGGAAGTTTATAAGTGATACCAATTCTAATGTTGAATGCAGAAATATGGGTACACACCTACCCTGAACATCTGAAAAAACATCTGGTCCTGTCCATTTAAATGCTGGCTTGCGGCCCTTTTCTTCTGTAACATGAACCTTCTTGATTAGATCAAGGCTGCTGAGAACATTAGCAATATCATACAGTCTCCGGATTTTGGCTGAAACAAATTTAAAAGGATAAGGAACATGCAGCTCTGCTATTTGGCTATTAAACATAGTATTGTAAAATGTAGACAAATTCCATCTCTTCCTGACAGAAGAGTTTAACCCCCAACTAAATATATTTTCAGCATAGTTAAAATGAAATTTATTTGTTTGGCAACTGTGAATGACTTTGATTTGGAGGATTACAAAAAGAAGTGAGCAATGTATCCTTTTTAAAAAGGCAGAAGCCCAAACACAGGATAGGGGACACGGACACACACACACGTAGCAGTTTCTGTTACTTACTTTTAAACTTGCTTTTATCTAAATTCTCAGCATGGTCTTCACCAATCAAAATTTTAGCAGCAGCTTCAAGACTCACAACTTGAGGGGCTGACACAAGGAACAACATCACAAATTTCTGACTCATCACTCTTAATGACTTGTCTTTACGACTATTTACTGAAGCTGTACAAAGACAAGAGATAAAAACCGCCTTTACCTTGAAGCCACTCTAAACAGTAACAATCCTGTTCTGGCACCCCAAATGCTGTCGCTTTGCCACTTCCATTAATTTCAATGGGGCTCATGTTAAGATTGCACATTAGAGATGTATCTGAAAAAGTGAGCAATGACTCACAAAGCTCACACCCTATCACAAATTTTGTTACTCTTTAAGGTGCTAGTGGACTCTTGCTCTTTTCTACTGTTAAGATCGCACTTGGTGGACTATATCCATTTTGTTTTATACATTTGGAACAACAAAAAAGTTCAAGTTTCATGAGAAAGGAAAGTATTAACATAAGAATTCTGGAAACACAGCAAACTATTACCTCCTCGAAACTCCATCCCAGGTAGTTCAACAAAGCTTATATCCATATGGTTGCTTGGAATATCATGCTTCACCACCAACTCAGTTCTCTGATCGTTCCCCTCAGGCTTTTCTTCATGTTCTCTTTTTTTGATCAACTGAATTTGCTGCAGGTACTTGTTCTCCTCAGCCACTTTTTTCAAAACCTGTAGTGTTCTTCTGAGATTATGACATCCATGCCAAGCATACTTGTTTTTGGCAAGCCGGTTCACCATATGAAGGCTTTCTAGAACATTCATTATGTCATATATGCGTCTGCGTTCAACATCTAGAAGGAAAATAAAAGGTTTCTTTGATTATAGGGCATATGGCAATAATAAAATAATTACATTTCAAAGTCACAAAGAATCACACCATCCAGTAAACAGGATGCTGATTACTTAATATTTATTTATTTTATTTGCATTATCTACAGTCCGCCTTTCTCACTCGACGTTGACATAACATTTCTACAGGAAACTCATTATACATCAGCATCTAAAATATATATTTAATATAAAATTAGAAACAAACTACACAGCTTCTCTTTCAGCAAAAACAAAATGCGGCTATTTAAATAATAAAGTTCATTCAATATTTTAGATGATTTAAAAGATCCAAATAGAAGATATTTGTAAAAGGAAAATTTGGTTTTATACTTTAGGGAAAATTTATGCTCCTAATACACACCAAATAAATTTATATAATTCCTCAGTTTCAGAAACTAACAAGTAAGGAGACAGGTGAGATTAATCCTTAGAACAACACACTCTCTTCCTGAGTCTCTATATATAAACATGGATTTTTAAAAATATAACTGATGGATGTATAGAGATTTTTCAATCCAACAGAAATAAATCAAAGGTATTTTCAGTTCTCCTCAAGAATTATTCAAGAACTGATATTTTTATGCTTTCCTAAAATATTACACGAAAGATTCTGAGATTGTATTTTAAGCCCTAGCAGGTCACACACGTCATTTTATATCTGAAATTTCCACTTTAACATGCCTGTTGTAAACTACAGAGGTTGAGTACATCTGTTACAATATAATGATGCAGTTATTATACTAAGATCACTGAATTTTTATCTCTTCATATTCCTGAAAACATTAGGCTGGATCCAGTGCAAGAACCATGCAAACATTGCCAACACTCATAATTTTCTCCTCTCTGCAGTGGCCATTTCCAACCCAGTGAAATTTATTCCTGTGGTTATGGGAGCAGTATGAAGTAATAGTCATTGGAGTTGGGAGGCTGCACTACTGAGGGAGAAGGGGGCAAAATTGCTCCCTTGTGTTTCTTGCATCAGTGGAGCTCTTCTATTGCAAGATGCTGGATCAAGGGATTTTGCCCCCTGCTACTTCAGCCTTCCCAACCCACATGGCTATTACTCCACATGGGTCCCAGGAATAAACTTTTCTGGAGCTGCAGGGAGTGGAAAGCCAGGAGACAGTTGACCAGCAGCACCTTCTATCCAATATATTACCTGAGCTAGAATCAAAGCTTCTCTGCAAAGTACTTTCATACATCTAGCATAATATTACAATGGAGGGAGAGAAAATTAGTTCAGAAATAAAGCAACTTGAATTGTCAAATCAGTGATCACTGGGTTGCTGAAGGTCACGGGTCTTTCTCCTTCAAACCTAGTAAAGTTGTTTCCTGGGGTCATGGGATCCACATGCATTAAGCACAAGGGTCAGGAAGTGGCAGTGGGGAAGGCAAAGAGGGCTCTTTACCCCCCCACACACACACACTGCGATCTCCCTACCCATGTAGCTATTAGTCCATTTAGGTCCCATAACTCAATTTTCCCATGATCACATGAAACTGCCTAGGGAAAGAAGAGTATGAGAAAGATCCCCAGTCCTTGTTTTGATATATCACAGGAGCCAATGTGTTAGACGCATCAGTATTCAAACAATTAACAGTTTATGGTATGCTTATAAAAGTGAAAGAACATTAAAAATTACTACACTGAAATCTGGGAATAAAAATAAAGTGGGCTGATCCCTAGGAAGAGGAGGAAGAGGAGATTGGATTTATACCCCGCCCTTCACTTGGAGTCTCAGAGTGGCTTACAATCTCCTTTCCCTTCCCCTCCCCACAACAGACACCCTGTGACGTAGGGTGGGGCTGAGAGAGGTCTTTCAAGAACTGCTCTTGAGAGAACAGCTCTGAGAGATCATGTGACTGACCCAAGATCACACCAGCAGCTGCATGTGGAGGAGTGGGGAATCAAACCCGGTTCTCCAGATTAGAGTCTGCCAATCCTGACCACTATGCCACGCTGAGACGAAAGGACTATCTAATACAGCATTCTGTTCACACAGTGGCCAACCAGCTACCTCTAGGAAGCCAACGAACAGGAAGACTTCAAAGAGGAACAAAGAAGACCTGCCTGCTGCCAACATTATTTACTATTTTTAATTAAACCATTTACTTCCCATTAGAGTTACTGAAAGAACAGTGGATTTGAAGCTTGAAGGTTAAAAATAAAATTTCACTAAATGGTAACAATATAGTATTAATATTATCTAACCCATCAGAATCCATTTATCCGATTTTGCAATTAATCAGTTTCTTCAATAATGTATCTTGATGAAAACTTAATATAAGGAAAACCGAATGTATTAAAATTTCTAAGAGGGTCAATAATACTGTTACCCATGTAATATCAAGTTTATGAGTAACAATACCAGTTTCAATGTCTCTTTAACTGCTAAAATCAATTATTTATTATTTCTCTCATTAATAGTGTTAAATATCATCTTAGTAAATGGGCTCTTAATTTATCCTGGATAGATAAGATGTTGGCAATGAAAATTAATATTTTGCCAAGGTTGTTTTTCATGTAGGATAATATGACAACTCTACCAATTGTTGACCTTAGAAGGTCAATTAATTTTTTTAATGCAATGCAAAAATCTAGAATTTCAATACTGATCTTACAAAAACCATATGAAAAGATGGTTTGATGTTCAAAAATATTTATTACTTCACCTCACAGTTGGTATAAGCTACTAGAATGATCCAGATGCTATGCTGACATGCCTTTTCTTCGAGTATGTTCTAATATATCATCAGTCTTCTTAAGCCAAGAAAAAAGGTGGGGTACAAATATTTTACTTAAGAAATATGAAAATAATTCTATCATTCTTGTACTAAACTGAACATTTATTACAACCCTTGTACAATTTCAGCACTTGAAACTTAGGCCAATACGAGAAGAATCCATCAATGTTATTATCTTCTTGGCCCCTGGGATGCAACAGAGAAATTATGTGTGTGTTGGGGGGGCGGGGTGCAGAAAGCCACTCCACAGCCCACAGGATAGCTGACATTCTGACAGGGCAGAGTCAGGTGCCAGTCCAAGATGGCCCACAATCCTAGAAGACCCATTCTGGCCCTTGTAACTGTTTGAATGGTGCATGACTGGTTTAGCATATTGCTCTTGTGCCAATTTAAGAAAACAGGGGCAGATTAACATACTGCTAGAAATACGAGCTGCGGTGGCTCAAGTGGTTAAGACGCTGAACTGCAGGCTGTGGAAGGTCAGTAGTTCAGCGGTTCAAGACCCGGGTGCCGCAAGACAGGGTGAGCTCCTGTCTCTAGTTCCAGCTCCTGCCAACCTAGCAGTTCGAAAGCAAGAAATTGCAAGTAGATAAATAGGGACCACTTCGGGGGGAAGGTAACAGAGTTCGTTGGCCTTGGTGTTTAGCCGGCCACATGACCACGGAAATGTCTTCGGACAGCGCTGGCTCTTCGGCTTTGAAACGGAGATGAGCACCGCAACCCTAGAGTCGGATTCGACTGGCTTTCGAGCAAGGGAACCTTTACCTTTACCTTAGAAATACAAAGAGCAGGTAAGCTTTGTAGCTTGTCTCAGTTCTTTTTATTCCTGCAACTTCACAAAAGCCACTATTACTCAGTCTGAGCTTCTCATTGACAAGAAAGGGACCCATCTTATAAACTTGTCCATAAGAACAGGATGAGATGCATTTTGAACACAGTAAAGCACTGTGTACATAGAATGTGACAGCCATCTGTTTTTGTACTTGGCTATAACCATCATTGGTTTGAACAAGACTTGTTGATCTAATAAGCATACTTTAATCTAAAACCTCTAAGCATTGCTAAGCATTTTATAGTACACATCAGGCCACGTTTGTAATAGTGATAAACACCAAAGCCCATCTTCAAACTTACTAAGCTCTTCTGCTACTTCATCAAGACAAATTTCATTGTTTTCAGAAGGGCTGGGATAAGGATAGTGAGCTAAAAATTTGTGACACAGCAGTCCTAAACTTTTTTCTTTACGGCTTGGTTGGGATTTTTCATATTCATCACCTGATAAATGGTCCTGTGTACAGAAAACAGAAACACCAATTGGTAATGTCTTATACACAAATATTACAATTTGTCAAATTTAGTTCCAGCATCCGTGATGAATGACTAAACTATGATGAATGACTAAAACCAAGCACCTTTTCAGTTACAACCGGTGAGCCTCAAAATAACGGACCTACCATTCATAGAAGCTATAAATCCTAAAAATAGCTGGCACCCCAAATTTGAAATTTACACCAGAGACTGAAATTAAGCGACATCACTTGGCTAGCTACTTTTCAAGTGTATACTTAAAAAATAAGTAGTTGACAAGAACATTTATAATGAAACAACAAACATAAATATTTTGCCTCAAGAATTTCACTTCTGTTGTCCATTAATTTTTTCCCCTGTTCACGATTTCTAATCTCAGGACTAGCTGCACTGATCAGCATTTTAAGGTTAGCTGTTGGTGTCCATGGATCTGCAGGAGAGATTTCATTAGGCTTTGGTGGTGTCCTCAGATGGCAAGAAGCAGCAGGCTGGATCTCTGCCAAGAACAAATTGGAGGTGGCTTTTTGTTTCAGTGGAGTTTTCACTCTGCTTTCATGTGGTTCAAAAGGCTGGTTTTCCTGAGTCAAAAACAGAAAACAGTGAGATTCAAAATCAGGCATAATAACTTTGCTGAAGCAAAGCTGTTGCCAAAATAAATATATAGTCATTTTTCTCATTTTGTGAGCATCAGTTGGTTTCACTGAATATCTCTCCACTTTTATTTTCTCCCTCTCTTTTTGTACTTTGGCATTTTGGAAGAGTAACTTTTCCCTTTTTTCTTTGCCATTTACCTTCTACCATATTATAGGGGATTGTGTTTAGGAATTAATTGTTTTAGAAACAATACAGTACAATATATATAGCTCCAAAAAGGCTTCCCTCTGTAGAACTCTTCTCTCTCCATTAAGTGTAGGGGAGAAATTTATGTTTGTTCTAACATCAGAGCACCACATGTGGCTAGTTTTAAACCACAGGCATTCAGATTCCTTTAATTCTCATACTCCCCTTTTTCTGCAGCTCAGAATTTTCCTGGAGATTCCCTCTGAGCCCCAGAGGAGCATTCTGGGGCTGCAGTGGGAGGTGAGAAATTCATACTGCATAAGGAAATAGATCTGTCCACAGAACTGCTCCACTGGATATGCCTATGTGTTTTGCTCCCCTTCTGTGCCTGGTTTTATCCTTTGTCAAGTTCATTTTTTAGAACTATGACAACGTCCAAGACTCTATCAGGGAAAAATGCACATTTATTCTGAATAATATATATTTATTTTTTCCTGGTAGGGTTTTGGATTTAATAGCTGTTTTGTGTGCCACTATGAAGGCTGTTTAAGAAAAAAGGCAGCACACAGATCTGTTAAAGAAATAAATAATAAAATGAGAGAAGTCACAATGGCCTCTTGTGTTACAGATGCCTTAATCATACTAAGTTTTGAACACTGGTGGTAGTACACATTTAGATACTGCATTACTGTGTTTATATACATAAATATTGGGATCTACTTTTTTAATACAAATGTTCATGCTCTTTGATTCTTTTTGTATATTGCATGAATTTCTATAAGAAAGTTTTATTTCTCCCTTGTAGTTTTTCATTGTATATCTCGCAGTTACCAATTACCATTTGGCTGTCTTCTCCAACAAACTCTACCTGGGTATGATACTTTTGAGTCACATATAGTTGTCAGTGAAATTATACCTGTGGCTTAGTTAAAGGAGCTCAATTTCCAGTTACTGCGGGACCTTTCCTCCCTGTGACCTTCACAAATGGGTTGCCTCAGCATTAATATACAGGTCAAGATGTTTGACTTCAAGTGTTAGCTGTTCATTAAAAGACTAAAATTTGAGCATTAACTAAAAGCAGCTCAGCAGATGGACAGCAGAGTAATGATGATTTTGGAGCTGCCTCACCTATTCTTGAATAGGACAACTGCAGCCTCACACACAGATTTCTCTGGCCTGTGCAAGGGTAACATTACTGACACTGAAGATCAAATGGAGAGCATACAAGTTTTAACAGCAACAAATAACTTACTTTGTCTTTACTGTTCATTTTGCCACTCTAAACTTCTTCCTACTTCACATTTACTTCAGGTATGGAACTTCTCTTAAATATGCCATGTAGTTTTTTGTTGTGTAGCATTTTGAGCATTCTGAGAGAGAGAGGGGGGAAACACAACAGTCACCTTGGAAGCAAAATAAGGTGACATCTGTGTCTGTCACAAGGACAATAGGAGAGAAATGTGATTAGAGCTGGCAGAACAAAGCTGAATTGGAAAGTTGTGCAAGACTTCTTAACAAACAGTGAACAAATTGCAACACAATGTATACTCAAAAGTCACTACCCCAGAGTTTTACAGGACCAACTATATAGTAAGTGTGCTTTGATTGTAGGGATCTTTCCTACTGCAGTAAAATGAATCCCATTGTTAGACTAGATGAATATCATTATTCAGTTGCAATCCTCCCCACTTCACAATTCTTTCTGGCACTTATTTTCCGTAATTCTCATTCATAGGCACTTCCTTTTTCCCGCAGTTTGTTGCTCAGGTTCTTTAACTCTTAAATTATGCCGAATTGGCTTTCATACATCCTTTGATATAATTTGCTGGGAATGGAAAACCCTATGTCGTGATCATGTTGTGGCGAAGTGAGCAGATAAAAGTAAATAAAGGAGCATACTTGTGGAAATGGTGAACAGGCACAGGAGAACAAATGTGCAAATTCAGCCTGAAAACAGAAGAGCTCAAATAATAAAGGGGTGGGTGGGAAAATGAGTAGGAACGACATGCAATTGCTATATAGCCCAGTTATAGAAACATTTGTACCTCTTTAATAAGATAAATTTGCCCGCCCTTCTCTCTCAAATGTAATAAATGTGACATTTCCTTGCACTAATAGCCACAGTGGGTTGAAAAGAAACTCCTAGGCAGCACACACACTCTTGATATTCTGAGGATTGCAGGTGAGGTCATCCTTCCAACAATCTAATCCAAAAGTGATTAGCCCTGCCTTAACAAAATAACATGCATCAAACCAAGTATCCTGTTCAGTTGTTCAGACAATATTTAGAGAGCAATCCAGAGCTGATCTACTCAAAATGTTAACTTCCAGGAAAGGGTTCTTAGAACAGCACTGTACAACAGAGGTATATGCTTACAGTATTTCTGCATTATGAAACAGAAGAAGAGTTTGGATTTATACCCCGCCCTTCACTACCCAAAGGTGTCTCACAGCAGCTTACAAACTCCTTTCCCTTCCCCTCCCCACAACAGGCACCCTGGGAGGTAGGTGGGGCTGAGAGAGCTCTTGACAGAAACTGCTCTTTTTCAAGGACAGCTCTTATCAGAACCACGGCTTGCCCAAGATCATCCAGTTAGGTGCAAATGGAGGAGTGGGGAATCAAAACTGGTTCTCCCAGATTAGAGTCCGCACACTTAACCACTACACCAAACTGGCTACACCAAACAGAAGACCATGCAATTAACCCATGACACTCTATAACAGAGCACCCACACAGTAAGAGGCATTGCCTGGAAACTGTCTTCTCCAGAGGGACACAGAATCATTACAAAACAATAACCTTTTGCCTTCCTTCCTTAGAATTCAAGGAATAAGCAGCTAATTGCCCATTCATACACAAATGTGTTTAGCTTGTTGAATCATGAACCCTCAGAAGTATCACAGAAAATATTCTGGTGTGGAAAGAACCATCCCCTCTCCATCAGTTAGATCTGGCCAACCCACCTTCTGGAATATCTTATAGATCCATGTTGGTGATATCATTCACAAATCCTCAAATGGTTGAGTTGACCTAAGAAGAGTCCTGGGGCGCTTCAAAGGCAGGCAAGTTTATTGTGGCAGGTACGTTTGCAGTCAAGAGCCCGATGCAACAAATTTATGTTACCTAAAAATTAATATTTACAAATATAACCATCACCATTTTATTTACTGTTATTATGTGTTCTGAAAAGCCACCACGACTAAACTAATAACTTACAAAATATGCAATTGTACACCAGGAAACTCAAACTACGTTTAAGAACACCCACACTAAAGCATAGTTACACTATCCTAAGTCTGTTGAAGTCAATAAGCTTAGAACGGTGTAACCCTGCAGAGGACGGTTTATGTCACCCGATGATGAAGCTCGCACCGCACCAAATCCCAGCGTCATCACCCACTCGTTTCTTAGTGACATCCACAGAAGTCCATTTATCTGCCCCGATGCGCGCTCATTTCTCATACCCCACACCTCTCCCCTCCGTTACCCCATACCTTTCCCACTGACTCACCTCCTTCCCACCCACCATAAAACTCGCCTCCAACCCCGGAATTCGCCCGCGCTCCTTAGCCCGAACAACCCTAGACTCCACCCCCTCCAGCCACGCCAAGCGTAGGGCTCCGTTGATTGGCTGCTGAAGGAAAGGGGCGGTGACCTTCCAGGATCCAGTTTAAAACGTTTGGCGCTGCCAACCCCGCGAACGGAACCCTTCCTCCCTTCCAGTTACCTCCAGTCTGGTACTCCGCTTCCTCTCTATTATTAGATACCCACTACTCAGCTAAGCCTGCCGCCTTTCGTACCTCCTCTTCCTAGCAACTACTCACTCACCCGGTCAGTGTCAGCGATTTGAATTTGGCCCGTGGCAGCAGGCGACGGGCGGAGGGGGGGGCGTGGTCGGGCTGCCGAGGAGGTGAAGCTCCAAGCCAATCAGATCACAGCCGCCTTCCAGCTCTAGCCAATCGCAGATCTTCTTTGGCCGATTTCGGTCGGGAGGAGTTCGGGGGCGTTGAAGGCTCTCTTGGCCGAAGTTCTCAGGAGTTTGGCGCGCGTGGAGGGCGCCAGAAAGGGCGGGGGACGAAAGCTGTTCGAGCAGCCTTGAGTGATGGGGCGAACATCCTCCCCCCCGTTCAGTCAGGTAGAGTAAGGCCCAATTAATTGGAAAACCAGCCTAATATTAAATTTTTACTATCCGAGTTAAATGTACGAATGTATGACGTAAGAAAAAGTACACCAAGGCCCGAACAGAGCCTCTCCTTTCCCTTATTACTGAATAAGCCTTTCCCTTGCAGTTCACGTTAAGAAGCAGGTCCTTCATCAGGTCAGCCCTTGGCATCTGTCTTTTTTAAAAATGAAGCGGGGTCGCTGAGGGAGGGCTCTGTCCCCTCGAATAGCTGAGTGACAAGCGGAAATTCAACACAGGGAGCTGACTTTCCCATGCCCAACGGGGTACTTCTTAGTTGGGGAAAAGGCACCTGTTGACTTTGGACGTGTCACATAAGTTATAGTGAAAACCAATGTTCCCTCTAAGCTTTGGAGTCTTGTGAGCAAAAATTCTACTTTGTGAGCTACTGGCATTAAAACTGTGAGCGAGTGATTTGGCTGCTGTATGAATTAGTTTGCTCTGGAGCCATCCTTCCTGAGTTAAGACAAAAATGTGTGAGCCAGAGGCTAAAAAACTGTGAGCTAGCTCACACTAACTCAGCTTAGAGGGAACACTGGTGAAAACATGTACAATCCAGGCACAGTAGCTTTTCTCATATTATAGTCTATGCACCTACAGCTGAAGGTATAATTTAACCCACATGGGGACTGGGTAGATCGGACTTTTACTTTTTTCCAACTCCATGTACTGTTCCCTGGTTTCATTTGTGAAGCTCTTTCTTACAGAGTTAAGCACATACATGCAGGATGTATGTGTGTTTACTGTAACATCTGAATAAGCTACAGTCTTTGAAGGTAGTGGGCTGGGGGAATAGTACTAGTTGCACATTACACATCAGCCGATCTTTGTTTAAGATGTGAGACGTAATAGGTTGAGAATAGAGTATCTGATTTAGAGCAGTGAGATCAGGTTTCAAATCCTTGGCTTTAGACGAGTGGCTGTTAGATTAAGCTACCTAGGATTGCCAAACCCTGATCGGGATGGCCCAGGCTAGTTGTTAGATCTCAGAAGCTAAGCAGGGTTAGCCCTCGTTATTACTTGGATGGGAGACCAGGAAGTCCAGGGTTGTCACACAGAGGCAGGCAATGGCAAACCATCTCTGATTGTCTCTTGTTTTGAAAACCTGATGGGAGGCTGCCAAAAATCAGCTGCAACTTGATGGCACTTCCCACAGTTGCCAACTCTGGACTGGAAAATTCCTGGAGATTTGGGGCATGGAGCCTGGAGAGGAGCAGGACTCGGGGAGTTCATGCCATGGAGTTCAGCTTCCAAAGCAGCCATTTTCTCCAGGGGAATTGATATTTGTAATCTGGAGATCAGTTGTAATTCCATGAGATCTCCAACCCCCC